CCCCAGCTGCCCTGGCCCTGGCCCCAGAAAGTGACCTCTCTCCGCATTAATGGCCTCTGGCAGTCTAATTAATGGCAGTCTGGACCTCCCCTGGATCGTGGGGCCCCTCTGGGACGTCCCGGATCCCCAGCTTAGATTTATCCAGGACCTGTGAGTGGGTAGCTGGGCCGAGGCTCCACTCGTGGGCTGATGTCGGCTGGAGATTCCCAGCCCCTTGATACCTCAGTAAATTTGAAGGGCACTACCATCACACAGCCTGGAAGGCCAATGCCCCACCCTAGATTTCCGCCTGGCAACAGAGCTCCTCGGAACACGGTCACCCAGCTCATGCCCCTGCCCACGCTAACGGCTCGGTGTACAGGTCTTCTCTTACACCTGCTAGGCTGCACCCGTCCTGTGCCTGTGGTTCCACTAAAGCCAAATGAACAGTAACTTCCTTGTCTGGGGGCAATTCTGTGTGAACTGAGTCAGACACAGCTTCTGTAGGAAAGAATGATGTGGCCCAGCCAGAACCCTACTGAAAATCGCTGGAAGGCAAGGACTTCCCAAGCTGTGCAGGTGGAGTAGGCGGAATAGGCGTCAAGGCTGGCACTCTGCCAAGGAGACCATACTGGCTTGTGTGAAATGGGTGGAGCACAGTTTAAGACAAATAACCCAAGGCATTAGTGTATGCTCCAGTTGTGGGATGGAGGGGTCTGGAGGTGTTTCATGGAAAAAGGTGGCATCTGGGTTAAACCACCATTTATTGAAGGCTTGCTGTGTGCAGTATCTCATGCAATCCTCTCAGTAATCCTGAAAAGCAGACTTCATAATTTCTCCAGTTTTACAATATAGTCATCCCTCTGTACCTGCCGGGAATTGGTTCCAGAACACCTGCCCCATACATACGTAACAAAATAGGTGATGCTCAAGTCCTTTATATAAAATGGCTAGTATTTGCATACACACATACTTCTATATATTTTAAACCATCTTGATTACTTTTTTTTTTAAAAAAAACAGAGTCTTTCTCTGTCAGCCAGTCTGGAGTGCAGTGGTATGATCGCAGTGAACTGCAGCCTCGACCTCCTGTGCTTAAGCAATCCTCCCACCTCAGCCTCCTGAGTAGCTGACATTACAGGCGTGAACCACCACAACCAGCTAATTTTTGTATTTTTTCGTAGAGATAGGGTCTCGCCATGTTGCCTAGGCTGGTCTCAAACTCCTGGACTCAAGCAATCCACCCACCTTGGCCTCCCAAAGTGCTGGGATTACAGGTGCAAGCCAATGCACCAGGCCTCAATTACTTTTCATACCTAATACAATGTAAATGCTCTGTAAATAGTAGTGATACTGCATTTTCTATTTGTATTACTTTTCATTGTTGATTTTTTTTCTAATATTTTTATCCATGGTTGATTGAATCCACGAATGCAAACCTGCAGATACAGAGGGCTGACAGTAACGAAACCGAGGCCAAGAAAGATGAGATAACTTTCCTAAAACCACACAACTGAACCCATTCTTCCATTTGGCTTCCTAACATATAGTATGTAGGATTTAGGCGGGTGATAGGGAAGAAAGTAGCCAATAAGTAATCCTTAACAGCTAATGGTTAATGTTTTACGAATCACTGATAAAATGAGACAATAAAATGTTTAAAACAGATATGATATCAAATACACGAGCTCTGGTACTTTAAACTCACTTTATGATTTTAGTTACATGCCAAATTATATATTTTTTACTTCGTGTATCATAAAAAGGGTTGTGATAGCAATTGTAAATTTTGTTCATGTGGAAAATTAATTCATAAATTCAGCGATGCAAAAATAATACAATTAGAATTTTAATAACATTGCTTCTGTATACTTTTGGATATGGAACACTATGAGATCAAATTGCTCTACCTACCATAGAAATGTGAATCACCTAAAAATTGTTCTCCTTAAGTAAAATGAGTTACAATGTTTAAGTGCCTAAATAATCATATTTCCAGACCTTGGTTATTATCATCCTGTGTATTTTAGAAGAAAATATCCAATAAAAGAGTTCTAATTAAAGACAAGTGGAAACAACAGATGCCAAAAAGCCCATGATACATTTTTATTCTTTATTAATATCATCTGAGGTCTTCAACAGTTTTGTTTCAGTGTGAAATCTTCTCTGCAAAAAAGACTTCTGAGATATCGAAATATAATCTGGGCTATGAAAAAGCCACTTTTCTGATATGAGCTCATATTCCCAAGGGTTTTTTGTGCTAAGAGGCCGTGGCAGGGAATGGTGGTAATTGGCAGTGATTTCGCCTTCTCCACTCTCACTTTTAGCTAACAAAATTCTTTGCCTTGAAAGCTTTATTAAACCATTCATTTTACCCAAAGATAAAATGTTAGAGGAATAATCTTTCTTTTTGTTTGATGCTTCCTTTCCTGAGCCATTCCATATTTCAGCATGATTTTGTGTCTTCCGTTGTATCTTTTCCTCAGCAGATATGCAAATAATGGGTTTCTTTTTCCCTTTTCCAGCAGCACATTTTGATTTATCTGAAATTGTCTGAGGTGCCAAGTCCATTCTTCTAGCCCTGTGTAATTTATCTGCATTCATGCACATTGCAGAGCTCACTGTATTAGAACTCTGAGCACTGTGATAGTTTAATTTAAGCAAGTGCTCCCATAATGAGAAGCCATTCCTAGAACCCTCAGAATGTTGCTGGCTCATACCTTGAGGCCAACATCTCCGGCTCCGGATCCACTCAATTTCTCTCAGAAGGCTGCAAAAGATCAAAAGTTGTCAAGAGGTCATATATATAACATGAATAACCAGAAGCATATTTCTGTTTGGAACATGAAATAGAAACTCACTGCAGGATTCCATGGATTGATGAATGAGAAGATCCCAGGTGGATCACCCTTAAATCAAGTGATCTGTACAAATAGCCTACTGCCTCAATCATGACGTGATGATAAGAGTCACTTGCCAATAACTGACCTGCTAGATATTTGAAAATAAGAATATTAGACTTTTTATTACTGCTGGCTTCACACATTTAAAAGAGAAGGATAACAAACATTTATAAAAAGTGGCATTGGAACATGACTTATTTGTAATATTCTGCCAAAAATATTTAACCTGAGTCTAATCATAAAGAAACAATCAGGCTGGACGCAGTGGCTCATGCCAGTAATCCATTCACTTTGGAAGGCTGAGACATGTAGATTACTGGAGCCCAGGAGTTCAAGACCAACCTGGGCAACATGGCAAAACTCCATCTCTACAAAAAATACAAAAATTAGCTGAGCATGGTAGCGCGTGACTATAGTCCTAGCTACTTGGGAGACAGGTGGGAGGATCGCTTGAGACCAGGAGGCAGAAGTTGCAGTGAGCCAAGACTGTGCCACTGCATTCCAGCCTGGACAACAGAGTGAGACCTTGTCTCAAAAAAATAGAAAGAAAGAAAGAATCAGACAGATACAAATAGAAGGACATTGGGATAGGGATGGGAGGGTGGAACCTGACTTCAACTCTTCAAAATAGTCAATGTCATAATGACAAAACAAAGGTACTTAAATCTAGACTAAAAGAGACAAATGCAATGCAAGATCATCAATAAGTTAACAGCTATAGAGGACATTACTAGATACTTGGGGAGATTTGAATATGAACTATAGTTAGATAATAGTCTTAGGCAATAGTTAAATTTCCTGGGTTTGATTATTGTGGTTATATGGGGGAATGTCCTTGTACTCAGAAGACATATGCTGAAGTATGGTATTTAGACATAAAAGTGTCATGTTTGCAACTAACTTTCAAATGGTTCAGAGAAAAATACATGTATGTATGTGTCTGTGCCTGTATATGAAAGAGAGAACACAGATGTGGCAAAATATTAACAACTGGTGGGCTAGGTGCGGTGGGTGGCTCATGTCTGTAACCCCAGCCCTCTGGGAGGCTGAGGAGGTAGGATTGCTTGAGTCCAGCAGTTTGAGACCAGCCTGGGCAACATAGGGAGACTCTGTCTCTATACAAAATAATAATAACAATTTAAAAAAACAATTGATGAAGATAGGTGAAGGTTATATGATCTTTCACTATACTATTCTTGAAATTTCTCTGAAGGTTTGAAATTTTTCAAAATAAAAAAATTGAGAAAAAAGTTTTCCAACTGCCACAGTCAATGAATTGAATTCTCGACCTGGTGCAGTGGCGCACGCCTATAATCCCAGCGCTTTGGGAGGCTGAGGGGGGCGGATCACTTGAGGTCAGGAATTCAAGACCAGCCTGGCCAGCATGGCAAAACCCTGTCTCTACTAAAAACACAAAAATTAGCTGGGCGTGGTGGCATGCACCTGTAATCCCAACTACTTGGGAGGCTGAGGCAGGAGAATCGCTTGAATCCAGGAGGCGGAGGTTGCAGTGAGCTGAGATTGTGCCACTGCACTCCAGCCTGGGCGACAGAATGAGATTCCATCTTCAACACAATAATAATAATAATAAAATTGAATTCTCTAAAATTTGTTAAAATAAAAACAATCCATTTTACAATCTAACTTGGAGGTGGTACTTATTTATTCATTTTACCCATTTACAAGACTACTTTTAAGGGGCTGGACTTATACCATTGATTATAAACATAACGTAAGGCTGGTATGTGTAAGGCACTGATTTAGAAATGTGATAAAGAGACTGCTGCCTATGTAAAGGATAAAAACACTGACAGATGACCCAGTCCCTGTTCCTGTGTTAACAACAATAACAGCAAATATATATAATTACCATCTGTCAGGACTGTGTAATCACATAAGGTATAGATTATCATCACCTGTTCACCTGGTTCAAAGATGAAAATTTATCAATCTGTAAAGTGAAAAGTGTCTTTCCCTTCTCTGTCCCCATCTGTGCAGTCTTCTAAAATGGAATCAATGACGTTAGTTTCTAATGTGTCCTTCCAGAGAATTTTTAGTGCATGTTTCATTTTACTTGTCTTTTAAAGATGAGCATGCTGGATGAGGTTAAGGAACTTATTCTAGTTCATAGAAGAACAGTCCTGGGTCAGCCTCATCCTGAAGTCCATGCCCTGCACTGCTACACTAGGCTGCCTCTTCCCCACTGTGGATTGTGCTCCTGAATATCAGCTGTGGCTTCTGCTCGCAGACATGTTCTCTCTCTGTGGCTTTGCTTCATGGATCAGACCCTGTATCTCACATGCCTGCAGCTTTCTCTGGAAATCCTATAGGAAATTTCACCTGCTGTCTCTGCTTAGCGATCTGGGACTATGTTTCTTCTTTTTGAACTATTTTCACGACTCCCTGTGATGTTCCCAGGTGCCTCAGTCTAGCTCAACAGAAGACATTTGTGAATTACCCTGTTCTTGATGACCAAGTTGCATTGGCCTTAAAAGGAAAAGTGGAGAAAAATAGAAACTGGATGTGTCATGTGGTGGCAAACACAGAACCCATTCTCAGAGATACTCTAGGCACCAATAACCAGATTCATAGGTGTGACTGACTTTCTTCATTCTGCCCAAGTCCCCTGAAGAGAATCTGATTTGCTATGGGATTGAGATTTTCATGCAGACAAGTTTCTGGTGCCCTTTGCATACACTACTTCATGCCCTTGCTACCCGCCTCCCTCTTGGCCACACACAACTCCTCAGGCCCCTTTTCCCTGGTGACCCATTCTAGACCTGACCTATAGCTTTGACCGCAGAACTTTCTTGGATGCAATCTGACTCAGGCAGCAAGCAAGCCAGGGAAAAGACATTCTTGCCTCATCCCCACCCCCAGTTTATCCCATTTTTCTTGGAGCTGGTAGCAGTTGGATCAACCCAGTCAGTCCTCCCAACCCAGAAAAGAGGAAAGACCAGAATCGGTGAATTTAAATTGGAGAGATGTCACTGAACCTCTTCCCACCTCAAACCTTTGCCCTGGATGGGGAGGGAACCTAACATTTAATTTTGTACTCTATTGGCTGTTTTGCATACATTATATCATTAAATCTTCACAATTACCCTATAGGTAGACTATATTATAACCTCTTGATTGGTAAGAAAATTGAGACTCAGAGAGGTTATGTCCACAAGCCAAGAAAATAGCAGAACTGGGATTCCAACTCAGGTCCCTAGGATCCAGGACCACAACTTCTAGAACTGAGAAAAGAGAACACTATTCTTCCTGTTTTGTTGGTTCCAGGGAAGATTTTCCATAAAAATACATCTAGAAAAAAAGCATCAGTTACCTTTTCTATGTTGTACTTCTGGACAGAGCCACACCCATCTTATTTCCAGTGGAATGTGAATTGGGGGTGGGGATGGGGGGAAGGTCCCATGAACACTCTTACTAATTTGTTCTCAGATTTTAAGTAGTAAGTTTTCCTAGTCTCCCCACTTTATTTTCAGTGCTTAACATTAAAAAGATGGTGGAATATTTATTATTTCCTTAGAAAAACAAAACAAGATATTTCATCCAAAGATAGTCCTCTATCCTATTAAGTACTCTCGTAAAGCACAATTTTTCCTAATTTTTATTCTACTGAAATTAAAATTAAGTCATGTTCCTCTTACTTCATATAATACCTGCTGTCACCTAACAAATGGATTTTTGCAATGCCAGTCCAGTGTGAGAGATGTTTACTTTTTCCTGGGCCGACAGCAACAGTCCAGGCAGTTGTCTCCAGGTGACAGTGAAATCTCTCCAGTGTTGACAGAGGTCTCAGGAAGTTTCCCTGAATGAATAACTCAGTGGATGAACCACCCCAGGAGGGATAGTTCATTACTGGGCAGCATCCACTGAGTTATTCTGTGCCGGGAGTGAATGAGATTAAGAAGTGAGGACAATCAGAGCCCATAGTCTCTGTCTACATTCTAGAAGATGGGCTGCAATTGTAAAGAGGAAGGAAGGTTTGGCACTGTCTAAAGGCTCTTCGTTGAACGTTTCTTTTTGTTTGATAATTAGGCTGTGTCTAAAGTTTCTTTGTCCAAAATCCTCAAGTTTGAGAAACTAAGTGTGTTTGCTTATTCTTTTTTCCTTTTTTAATCTGCGAACTTAACCTAGAAGTGTTTGCTTATTCTTTCCATAAATGTGTGTATCTATAAACAGGTTAGGGAGAAAGCTGTGTGTCATTGTCCCAGAAAAGTAAAAGGTTGCTATTGGATGTCTCCATGGGCCTTCAATTTCTGATCCAAAGAAAACAATAAGAGAGGTTAAGGAGTCCTTTCCCCCACCCCTCTCTACTGAAACCATGGCCTAGTCTGGCTCAAAAGGACCTGGTTGCAGGTGGCAAGTAGCATCCTCTATTGTCTTCCCCCAGTTCTGCATGAACCCAATGCACCAATTAAAGGAGATGGGCCTGTGCAGAAGCCCCAACTTTAAGCAGAGGGAACAGATTGTTCTCTCTTAAACAGGCTTTTGACTCTACTACCAAAATTGAACATTACCTGTGACCTCTGTGTTGCTAAACACAGTGGTCTGTTCTCAATCTGCTGGTCAGTTCTCAACACTCTTCTCTCTTGGCTTCAATGATCTGACTGCTTCTCGACCTGCCTCTGGAGCCATTCTTCATCTTTTACTACAGCCCTTTCCTCTTCTCGTCCCTTAAATGCTGGCATTCTTCCAAGTTCTACCTCTGGCCAATTGTCTTGTCCTACATTCTTCTTGCTTCTTTCAACCATTCTACTGAGTTGAGCCAGCAAGTGTACACTAAGGACTCCCAAATGTTTTCTCTGGCTCAGTCTTCAAGCTCTTAAGCACCAGACTCATCTATCCTACTGCCTACTGAATGTCTCTACTTGGATAGAAAATTCAAACTCAACAGGCCCCAAATTAGCTCACTGTGGCTCCCACCCCACCCTACCAAACTATGCTCCCTCTCTTGCAATGCCAACAGCATCATGCACCCAGGTGCACTGACCTATGATAGAGTCGTAAACTGGGAAATGCTTTTGGCTTTCTCTCACCTCCCACATCTAGTCAAGCACCGAGCCTGTTGGATTTACC